TCGAAAGGAAAAAGGGATTATCAACAAATCAATGAGAGAGAGGATCAACAATGAATATTCCAAATATACATGGCTAGAGTTTCTAAGAATTAAGTCTGATGCACCATGGCTGATTATCGCATTTATCAGGCACATTCAAGTTCTTCTACAACTTCCTGCACAAAAGATTTGAAGTGACAATGGCACAGAGTTCACGAATGAGACCCTTCAAAGTTTTCTTCACTCTACCAGAATTTCTCACAATTTTTTTGTTGTTCGAACTCCGCACCAGAATGGAGTTGTTGAAAGAAGAAACCAGACATTGGTTGAAGCTGCTTTCACAATGCTTGCATATTCCGACTTACCTTTATGTATGTGGACTGAAGCTGTTTCTACTGCATGCTTCACACAAAATCACACGATCATTGTCAAAAGATTAAATAAAACTGCTTATAAGATAATCAATAACCACAAGCCTAATGTTAAATTCTTCCACATTTTTGGCTGCAGATGCTTCGTGCTGAAAGATTGAGACAATCTTTGGAAGTTTGATAAAAAGGCTGATGAAGGTTACTTTATTTGTTATTCTATCAAGTCAAAAGCCTTCAGAGTCTATATCAATCAGACAAAGATTGTGATTGAAAGCATCAATGTTAGATTTGACGAGTCTTTAACTTTTGAACAACACGGTTTATGACTCAATCTATAATTGTAACATCCTCAAATCCATACATTGCATATAACACATATTTCATACATAGAATATATGTCCCCCCTCCCTTTACATAGGTCCTTAATACAAGAGACTAAAATATACAACTAAAAAATTTCAAAGTACATGCTCTTGTATTCTAGCATCTAAGCTTCAACACATGGTTAACCAAGATCTTAACGTAGCAAAGCACATAGGGACGTAATTCACATAATGTTTTTCCGTTATTCTCATAACCTGCACACATATTTTTTGAAAACACAAAATGAGGGTTAGACATAAATTTCTAGTGAGGTTCCCTTCTTATGTAATGCAAGGTGAAGGTCACCAAAAAAAATTATTTCAAATAATCCATCTCATGTTGCAAGGACTGAAAATCATATTCTGTTTTGGTCCATCGGGACTCTGGTTTCAAACCATACTTGGAATATATTTCAATAAACAGGACCAGAGCCCCTCTTGGTTGTCTACCAGAGTTTCTATTTTCTCGACCAGAGCCTCTGGCTCATATAATATTCTTAAGTTTAGGCTTCCAATCAATAAGATGTCCTTTCTCATAAAAACAGAAGCACTACAGAGTTCTTACTCAACCAGAGCCTCTGGTTGCACTAACCAGAGCTTCTGGTTGAAACGTTATGACCAACCAGAGCCTCTGATTCAATGTGCGAGTCGACCAGAGCCCCTCTGGTCTGTCTTTCGTATAAAATACTAAGTATAAAATTCTTTTTTCTAAAAACTTCTTAAAACATGATTTTAACACTGAAGCTCTTATCAATAAATATGATTTTGACACAGAAGCTCTTATCAATAGATACAGAGCCTCTGGTCCAACTAGTACGTTTAGTAAAAATTTGCATATTCATCAAATCATATAACAAGAACCCTCTGGTCCATTAGTGAGGACCAACCAGAGCTCCTCTGGTTCCTCATAAAATGTTCATTTTGTTCCAAAATACTTTTGTCAAAACCAATGAACTTTGTTCCAAAATACTTTTGTCAAAACCAATGAACATAGGCCATATTTTCCCATAACCTTAACATCAATACTACTATTTCGAATAAGAACAACATCTCTAAATCCTCAAATCACCAAGAAGAGAGAACTCCAATTTGTTGTAATCTTATTAGATATAATAGTAAGAGTTATACCATAC